CCTGGCTCCTGGCAGACACCACACACAGTGGAATGAGATGGTGCCCGGTCTTGCACCATCCCCTGATCGCTTGCCCATCAGACTGTTGTGGTCTGGAGGGTCTTCGGGGGCTGATTTTCAGGAGTAGATATCCCGGCCTTTCTTCCTAGTTTCTTAGCCTGGAAGCTGTGCTGGAGCCTGGTTAGCATCATCGCAACACGGAAGGCTCAGCAGGTAGCAGGTGGTGGTTGCGTATGAAGTGTCTTGACCAACACCCCAACCTAGTCTCTTGCATGGAATTCAAGGGTCCTACCATGGAACCATCACGGGCCCCCTCCCCCCAAGGGACTGTAGGAAGGCCATGCTTTTGTTTTTCCTCTTCTACCTTTTTTTTTTCACTCACTGTACTACTTGACTTCATAATATTTGTAATAGAAAAAGATAAGAGAACCATATTCTTAGTAACATTTCTATGGCCCAGTGAGTCCAGTGGCGGTCGTCACCAGTTCTGGTTTGGGAGATCTGGAATGGGGCAGGACAGAGTAACCTATACCCAACAGGTGGAAGGCAGGTTTGGCAGCGTTGGTCACCTGTCCCTGCAGTGACCCACCCTTGTTTACGTAGGGATCTGCTCCCGGCAGCATGAGACAGTGCCGTGTGGGTCTAGTGCCTGCAAGGTCATATTATCAGACCATTGTGTTTCCTCAATCTGCTACCAGCCTCGACCTGGACCTGGCTTCATAGAGTTAAAAGAGCTTCCTCCGGCTTGCTCCTGAGCCAGCCATGCGCTACCACCTGGGCGGGAAGCCGTGGTTAGTCTGTGGCTCCAGGCCCTTCATTCAAGCCTAGAATTAGCCAAACACGTGGCCGTCCAGCCAGAGTTTGCATTTCCTTTTTCCTGTCTGGCCTGAACACATCTAGTTCTCTTCCAATAGGAAGGTAGAAAGCAAGCCATGTGCCGGGCTGCAGCCTGCGCCAGCAGTGCCCACAGAGCGCATAGGTTTTGCCACGCCCAGTCAGCAGAGCCAGGGAGCTGGGATAGGTGTGGTGTCTCGTGACCCCACTTCCCTTGTGATATCTCTTTTCTGGCTGCCGTGCCCAGGTCTCCACAAGGTCTACCTGCGGAGCTGGACTGCACCCCAGAGAGGAACCCACGCCTTTTTTACTGAGAGCCCTTGATCCCACGTGCTAACCAAGCTCTACCATTCTTTTTGTCCTTTCCTTTGGAGTTCCAGTTAGCTGTGTCTCCAGCTCCCAATGGAGGTTGTCATTTCCCCCTTGCCTACCTCTCTGAATGAAATCCCTTCCTCAGTTACTGACACGCTCTTTTCTCTGGTCTTTTGTTCTCACGGGTCCCTGGCATCTCCCTGGCTCTCCTTAAATCCAGAGGGTACTCCTCACACCAGCTTCATTCTCACCTGGCCTCAGCTCCATTGGCTGAAAGCAATGACACTGGCCCCCACCACACAGGCTCTGTCACCCCCAGGCATAGGGATCGTCCCCTCTCCCCATAAAAGGCTTGGCAGCATATTAAACAAACGCATCTGTGACTTCCGTCAGTGCTAATCCAGAATGCAAAATAAAAATAATCCAGAATGGATGGGACCTAAAACATAATCCCCCCCCCCTGCTTTTTTTAACTGGGTGGGGGGAGGGGAGGAGTGCACAGCTAGCTGAAAATTAAGGCCTGTGAAAGGGGTCATTAAGAAGGTCTTCCTCGGGACAGTGAGCGATCGCCCCACCGTCTTCCTCGGGACAGTGAGCGATCGCCCCACCTCGAGCCTTGGATTACGTGGGAGGTGGGAGAGCCGCGAGTGCAGCCCACATGGAAGAAGTCTTGGCCTACGCGGGGGCGACTGGACACCTGCCAAGCGACCGAGAGGCCCCGTGAGACTGAGCCAGATGGTAGAAGGCTCCAGCCATCTCGGAGACCCCCAGGCGGGAACAGGTCTGACCCTCAAGGAGGCCCTCAGGGCACTCCTGCTGTGCACGAAAGGAGGCCTGAGGTTGGACCTGGGCCAGCAGGTGGAGAAGGCTGTGATGGTGTTGCTACAGCAGGCTGCCTAGTTCCTCCACGAGGTCCGGACCAGCGAGTGTCTGCACACCAGCCAGGTGCTCCCGGGAGAAGCTCAGCACGGGGCCCTGGCAGGACGTGGACAAAGGCTGGCACCAGGTGTACTCCTTGGGCTGCCTTCTGAAAGCCACGTGACTGTGCGAGGTGCCTGTAGACACTGCTGACGTGACAGCTGCCCTGTGGGTCTGCGAAATGGGCCTGCTGATGGGGGCAGCCGTTTGGGGACATCCTGCAGGCTCACCTGCTCTCTGGAGAGAGACCAGCCCAGGGCCCAGCGCCGGGCCTGCCCAGCACCAAGGTAGCCGTGCGAGTGTGGCTGGCTGACTCACGGAGCCTGGCAACGTGTGTTTCTGGAAGTGTCTTCCAGGCCAAGCCAGGCTGACTCCTCCATGGCTGAGCATGAATGAGCCAAGTTCAAAAAATTCCTGGAAAAATGGGATTCGAGGGATTTGGGGCGTGGGGGTGGAAGACATAAAGAAAGGTGGAATTAAAGGATAGTGGAATTCTTCCATGAAAAAAAAAAAAGGTCTTACTCAAACTGCATTAGACTCAGCATAGCTATGATTTTCACTTACGTTAGATGTGAACACTACTCTTTCTCTGTAGCTGTGATTTTAATAACACTATATTTCAATTAAAAGTATATTCTATATAAAAGAAAGCATCAAAGTATATATGGAAGGTAATTTGAATAAAATATCTTACATTATACAGTGAACCCTCGTTTATCGCGGTTAATCGGTTCTAGACCCTACCGTGATAAATGAAATTCCGCGAAGTAGGATTCCTTATTTGTAAATCAAATATTTTCATAATTAGAGCATAGAGGACATGAAAAAACACCCTTTAGTCACCATTACACTCGTATTACCCAATTTATTAAACGAAAAAGGGAAAATACAGTAAAACATTTTGGACGTTACAATTATCATTTATTATTTATTATATTATTTATGGCATCAAGCGTGTACAGTATGAGCCAATCTGTGGCAGTAATGACAGAGCATGCGCTGTTACGCAAAAACCGCGATAGAGTGAAGCCGCGGAATTTGAAGCGCGAAGTGGCAAGGGTTCACTGTATATAACAAAATTTTAGATTTTATACTTTCAAATTTTGAACATCAGTATCTTCTCTTTAAGCATAGATAGCTATAAATACATATAGCTTATTTATCTAAAACAAAACATCATATTGTATACAGAAGATCACTTAAATAATGCATGTATCTGTTTTTATCGGTCTCACTGACTTACAGTTCACATAGCCTACATCTCAGTCATTCAGTCGCATTCATGCTCCACAGGCCTCGGGGCATTTCTTCCTCCTGTCCTCAGTGCTGTTAGCGCCCCACTTCCCGACAGCCTCCCCACCAGGCCCCTTTCTTTGAAGCTATTAATCTAGTTGCCAGATTAATATATTTGTTTTTTAACATATTTTTTACTTTCACATTGTCATCTATATTTGTAATGTCATATATTTGTGTAAATAAATACATAAAACTGCTTATATAATATTGATACATATTTTTAAGTATTTGTAAAACATAGGCTGCTTCAACATATTCCATAAATATTAATATTTAAATCAACATCATTGTCATATTTAAATCAGTTTGATCTATACTTCAATTAATATTAAAAGAGGTGTACTGTTTTTTACAAATAAGGTCCGACATAGCCCTATAGTATAAATATTAGCCTGTAATGCATGTTGCTGTTAGTTGCCACTGAATTTGCCCTGACTGGGGCGGCCCATGGGTGCACACTAGGAACCACTGTTTCACCTGGTGCTAAAGGCTGTGGAAGCAGGTTGTCAAGACTTCTGCCCAGGTGCCCTTGGGTGAGTTCACAGCACTAACCTTTCAGTTAGTCGTCATGCATTTGTTTAACTGCACCACCAGGGACGTGTGTGTGTTAAACAACAAGGTGTGAGTGTGTGTGTGTGTGTAACAACAAGGAGCCCTCTGTGTGTGTGTGTGTGTGTGTAACAACAAGGAGCCCTCTGTGTATGTGTGTGTAACAACAAGGAGCCCTGTGCGTGTGTGTGTGCGTGTGTGTGTGTGTGTGTGTGTGTGTGTGTGTGTGTGTGTTATAAACAACAAGGAGCCCTGGCGACTCTGTGGGTTAATCATTGGGCTGAGAACTGCAAGGTAAGGGATCCAAACCCACCCACCTCTTAGTGAGTAGTTATGAGTTGGACCCCACTGGAGGGCGATAGATGGTTTCACGTACACAAGCAAACAAAACAACCTACTAGGATTGCGTCTATTCCGATGCAAACCCAAGAGGATGGTTTCCAAGGTTGGAAATCCTTAAGAGAAGCAAAATGGCAAGGACTAGTGACCCTTTTTTTCGGGGGGGCTCTCAGCCCAGTGCATTAACCAAACTGCCACCAGGGCTCCACCAGAAAGGCCATAGGAAACACCCCAGGGGCAGTTCTGCTGTGTCCCGCAGCGCCTCTGTGCGTTGGAATCAATATTCAATGGAAGTGAGTTTCTTTTCCGTGTTTGTACATATACTGTATTTAAAAGCCCCACTGCCATTGAGTGGGTTCAAGTTACAGTAACCCTATTTAGGGTTTCCGAGGCTGTAAATCTCTGTGGGAGCAGAGAGCCTCATCTTTCCCCCAGAGAGTGGCTGTTGGTTTTGAACTGGTGACCTTCCCATAAAGCACTCCAACTCATATTCCAGACACCACCAGGGCTCCATATAGTGTGTGCGTGCGTGTGCATGTGCATGGTTTCACCTACACGTGTGTAACAAAAATATATTCATATTGAAGTAGATAGAATGCTGTATTCGCTAAATAAAATGTTTTAGAACCATGTATGATGAGCAGATGCTATCAGGCCGCCTGATAGCAAGATTTGGCTTCGGGGGACACAGCTCCCCCTTTGTCTGCCGCCCGCGCCAGCGCCTGACGCCCCGTGTTTGTTTGCACCCGCAGGCATCGGCAAGAACGTGATCTGCGACCGCACGGCCACGCCGCTGGACGCCTTCCGCATGATGTCGGCGGCCCACTACTACCCCAAGCTCATGAGCATCATGGGCAACGTCCTGCGCTTCCTGCCTGCCTTCGTGCGCATGAAGCAGCTCATCGAAGAGGGCTACGTGGGCGAGCTGCTGGTGTGTGAGGTGCGCGTGCACAGCGGCAGCCTGCTGGGCAAGAAGTACAACTGGAGCTGCGACGACCTGATGGGTGGCGGCGGCCTGCACTCGGTGGGCACCTACATCATCGACCTGCTCACCTTCCTCACCGGCCAGAAAGCCGTCAAGGTCCACGGGCTGCTCAAGACGTTCGTCAAGCAGACGGACCACATCAAAGGCATCCGCCAGATCACCAGCGACGACTTCTGCACCTTCCAGATGGTGCTGGAGGGCGGCGTGTGCTGCACCGTCACCCTCAACTTCAACGTGCCCGGCGACTTCAAGCAGGACGTGACGGTGGTTGGCTCCGCCGGGCGCCTGCTGGCCGTGGGCACTGACCTGTATGGGCAGCGCAACAGCGCCCCGGAGCAGGAGCTGCTGCTGGAGGACGCCACGCGCGTCAGCAACTCCCTGCTGCCCGAGAAGGCCTTCAGCGACATCCCCGCGCCTTACCTGCGCGGCACCATCAAGATGATGCAGGCCGTGCGCCGGGCCTTCCAGGACCAGGACGACCGGCGAACCTGGGACGGGCGGCCGCTCACCATGGCGGCCACGTTCGATGACTGCCTGTATGCCCTGTGTGTGGTGGACACCATCAAACGGTCCAGCCAGACGGGCGAGTGGCAGAACATCGCCGTCATGACGGAAGAGCCAGAGCTGAGCCCGGCCTACCTGATCAGCGAGGCCATGCGGCGGAGCAGGATGTCCCTCTACTGTTAGCCCAACCTAGGACAAGGCGGAGCCTGAGGGGGAGCGAGGGGACTGCACGGAAGGAGGGAGGGAGGAAGAGCGGCTGGGGTTGGGGGTAAGAATAGGGGGGCACTCAAAGGGGCTTGGGGCGGAGGTGACACCTGGCTGAGGGGCAAGACTGTGTAGCTGAACAAATAGCTTGGGGGAGTCAGTTTGCAAGGAGGCAATGCTCCCCTCCTACCCCACCCACCCTTGACCTCCTTTGTAAGCCAGATGGGCCTGCAGGGTCAAGGTCACTGTTTCCACAGCGAGCTCTGCCTTATCCATCCATCCCAGAAACCGCCAGCTGCCAAGAGAAGGCCCTGCCCTCGCTGGCCTGGGGTTATCCAAAAGGTAAATTTCCTGGAAGCCGCTTTGGTGACATAGTGTACAGCTTCCTCGATGGACCGACCTTCCTTGCGGAAGCACGAAGTCTAATTGCTTCATTGCCATCCCCGACTGGCGATGGGGTAAGGGAGTGTCGGGTGGCCGCAGAGCAGAGGGGTCCCTTCCGCCCCCCCCAGAGCTGAGGAGCATATGTCCCTCACACTTTATCCCTGCTTTGAAAACCACACGGGCTTTAAGGTCTTGGCAAGATTTTCAGTGGAAGGGGATGATCCATCCGGCCGGGGGCGGAGCGCAGGAAGGATTAGTTAGCTGTCAAGAACCCTGCGGAGAAGGCACCTCCAGGCAGGGTCCCTGTGAGTTTGAACTTGTCCGCTGCCCGCTGCCCTGGGAGCCCCTGCGCCTTGGGTTTGGGGCCTGCTGTAGAAGTCCAGATACTGACTGGAATTTGCTTGGGGTTCTGCCTAGCGGATCTAGGACAGGGCTTTAAGGAGCTCCCGCCAACTTTGCAGATGGAAAAGGGGAGGCTCCCGTTCTCAAGGCTCTTATCCCTGGGGCTGTCTTTTTGCTCTCAGGAGTCTAACACCAGAAAGATTTGCAACAAGTATTAAACCAGGCAGGGAACGGAACATGATATTCAGTATTTATAAAACCCAGCTTTAGAATCCTCTGAGTTGTGTCCCTCATCGAGGGAAAGCTGCAGTTGGGATAGGCATCCTCCATTGCTCACTTGACTTCTTGCTTCGGGAGCTTTGGTTGGCTCACGAGTGCTGAGCAGCCTCTAGAGTTGTGCGCACGCGCACGCACGAACACGCAGACGTTTATAAATGTTGCTGCCCTCTAGCAGCACTGGGATCCTTCTTAAAACAACAGATCTGGTCGTATCAGAACGACTAAATCAAATATATTTTGAAAACCTGGAATCTTTCTTTTGTTATCTTTTCTATTTTAACCTTGCACCCCAAGTAAAGCGTTTGTCTGAGAACACTGCTTGGAAACCTGCATGGCTTTCCTTACAAGTTCTCGGCAAGCAAACAGCTGTCCTTGGCGTGCACCTGTAGTTTAGACTTCTTCCCAGGTACCTGGAAGTGGAATTCAAAGGCAATATAAGGAGCCTTAGAGGGTCCCCCAGCCCCTTAGTGTCAACAGACTGTGAAGCCCAGGCTAGCCGTCGGGGCAGCTGTGGCCGAGTGCCAACCTGAGCCAGATGATAGTCATTTTCCGCCACGGAACGCCCTGCTGGGTGTGGGGAGGGGACCGTAGTGCTGCTGCTGCTGTGCTGGGGAGGAAGTACATTTAGTTGCTTCTCAAGGGACATCCGAGTCCTATATACTCATTTGTTTTGATATTATTTGTTTTCCATCCCAGAGAAGTCACCTGATGGCCAAGGCCATGCCACATCTTTAAAGGGACAGCGGGGAGCCCAATTCTCAGCCCACCATCCTGCCTCACACAAGTCCCCCAGAGCTGTTAAACAGTGATCGGCAATGCAGCAGAGAGAAATGACCTGTCTGGGGTCCCAAGGCTAGGTGGAGGAGCTGGCGTTAGAACTCCACTGGATCCAGCGGTATTCCTTGAGCTCTTGCAGGTGGATCGTTTCTTGGTTTTGTTTTCAAACGAAAGTCGATATTGAACATACTCAGAGAACTAGCCGTACCATTCCCCCCCAGCATGGTTACAATGTGAACAGTGGTGTCTATGGTTGTCCTTTATCTGGCAAGGATGGGAGGTCCCTATGCAGACAGTGTCCTTCAGGGTTTTCTGAGGCCAGTTCTACTTCGAATCCCCCCACTCCGCTCCTAGACCAAGATCCAGGCCTTGTCTAGCTTCAGGCTCCTGAGCATCCACCACTTGAGAGGGTAAAGGCCGAGAGATAGAGAAGCAGGTTTTTTCTTTGAATGAACCCTTGTCTAGCAGAGCCACACATGCCCATACTCTTTTGGGGGGAGGGCGTGGAAGTGACGTGCAGTCAGTGGTGTGACCTCACAGGGAAAGCCAAGTTCATTACCAGCAGTGGGCACGCCCACCCAGCCACCCTACCTGGGTGATGGAGCAGGCGCCCAGTGTCAGGCCACAGCTCAGATTGAATGACGCTTATAGGGCTTTCTGCCAGCGTAACCAAGAACTTCTATGCTCCTAGCAAAGGTGACGGGTTGATGGTCTTTCTGGAATCTGAGAGGGATACCAGTGTCACATCTGAGTAGCCCGGTCAGGAGTGGGTCAGCAATAGGTGGCTGATCTCATTCCCACCCACATCCGTGTCCACAGTAGCTGAAGAGGAAGGACCAGCTCAGCCTCTGGCTGCCAAGGCCTCTCCATCTAAAGTGCCGCGTTGCCGCGCAGCAAGCAGAGTGGTAAACAGACCACGGTGACTCAATGGCTTTGTGTTTAGTGGGGCCACCCATCAAAAGCTTGCCTGGGCAGGTGTAGGCAAGCTTACAGAATCACCTGGGTACCACTTCCTCACCCCCCACCCCCATCTCACTGTCTGTCTTGTTCCTTGTCCCCTCCAATCACACAAAGGTTAAGTTGTTGGCCGAGCCTCTTTGCTCTTTGTTGACTGACTTATCTGTGATTCAGAGTCTAATCCCAGATGAAGAAACACCTGTAAAGCAAGTGGCCTAACCAGCTCCTCTCTTTCCTCCTTCTCCTTCAGACTTCCAATCAAGGTAGTCGCCCATCCACCCTGTGACTTGCCCTGGGGCGGGCGGTGGACTCAGTAGGGATGGCTTCCTGTTGGCCTGCTGGTGCTTTGACATTGGCTGGCTTTTGTGTTTGTTTATTTGTTTCTCCAATAACCAAAATTGCATCTGTTTGCTGGTCATTGTCAAGTATGTGTTGATTGTGTTTTAAAAACATGAATATATATATATGTACATGTATAAAACCAAACATCTATATATAAAGTCAAGGCATGTATAACTAGATGATTGAAAGAGTTATTTATCAATGGGAAAATGTGTGTTATAAAGTAAACAGAGTCTATATTTGATATATAATGTAGATAGCCAAAAAAAAGCTTATAAATTATAGATGGTTTGGGGCTTTTGTTTTCCATCATTATTAAAACAAAAAAAAGACAACGAATCCAACTGTTCTTAGTGTTTTCAAGGCCAGACCACTGTGGAGGAGGGCTGACGTGCCTCCTGGCCCTGCTCCTCAGTACCTGCTGCTCGGCCTCCAGGAGGGCGACGCCTGCTGTTACCTCAGTGATGCCCGCCCACTCGGGGAGGCAGGTCCTGTCACCAGGCCAGTTGGCGAGTGCTGCGGCAGGCATGGTTCCCTGCTGCCCTCTGCCATTCACACTGGCGGGCATCAAGGAGTGGAAATGGCAAATAAAGATTTCAAAGAAGATTACCGTTCTAGTTGTTGGTCTGTTTATTCGCTCCGGGTGGTCTAGCTCACGATTTAGGGACCCAGTGGGGTCGGAACGGGAATGAGAGTGCAAATGATGGTGGGGAATCAGAAGTGTGGGAGTGTGTGTGTGTGTGGGGGGTGTTTGTGCACACCATCCATGAAGCTGGACCGTGGTAACCAACTGAACTTCCTCTTTTAAGTCTAGGTTCATGGAACATTAGAAGTGGAAACATTTTGTAAGAATCTGGCTCAAACTCTCCCTGTGGAGGTATATTTAGGGAGAGAGAGTATGTGTAGAAGATGATGGCGTAGATTTTAGACTAAGGGAGCAACATTTGAAACTCTATTATTTTGACTTCTGAATTTAATCCCTGGAGCCAACGGCTACTCCAGGGTAGACTTCGCCCTTTCCATGCAGGAGACCGGGGTTCAATTCCAGCCAGTGCACCTCCTGCCCAGACATTGCCTGCCCATCAGTGGAAGCTTGTGTGTTGTGATGAGGACAGGTTGCAGGGGAGCTTCCGGACCAAGACAGACTAGGAAGAAAGGCCTGGCAATCTACTGCTGAAAATCAGCCAGTGAAAAACTATGGACCACAGCAGTCTAATCCCATAATGTCCAAGGTCACCACGAATCAGGCCAGCTTGATGGCAGCTAACAACAACCCAAACCATAGGCCAACTAATGCAATTCTGCCCGCAAACTGTACACCTGTAAAACGTTGAATGGGTACATTTTGTGTAAGAGATATGTTTTCAACAATGCTCCCTCCCCCCCATCCCCCCAAAAGGAGTCATTGTTGAGTCTTCTTGTGTGCAGCCAAACCAAACGGCTCATGGGGTTTGGTCCTTTGTTCTGCAGGTTTAGAACCATGCTTTCCTGGGACATCCCCGTGAACTGGCCTAATACCGCATTTAGTGCTTCTGTTCTACCTCAGCGTTCGATGTGTATTGCATGGGGTCTTAAAAGTTTGCAAGCAGCCATCCGAGATACAACATTTGATCTATATTTACCTGGAGCCACAAAGGAAGGAGAGTCAGGAATAGGAGGAGGATATGGGATATGTAGCCTTCATGCACAACTCCTCCTGCTGCAATGAGACCAGAAATGCTGGATGGTGCCCAGACCATACTGAATATTTGATGAAAGGTTCTGAGGGAAAATCTTGATCAAAAGGAGGAAAGGTGGAATAGAATTTCAATAGGCATGGACTCCAGATTCTCTGGAGCAGGGAGGCTAGATGAACCCTTTAAACGATTGCTCTGAAATCATCTTTAAAACATAGGCCAAAAATATCCCCTGAGGCCTTCTGGAGACCCAGCCACCGCTTCCACCACTAGCAGAGACCCCCTGCCTGGAGCATTTTGCTCTATTAAGATCTCTCCCTATGGGCTCACGTCGACATCAGCAACCTGAAAGATTAGCGAGGAACCCTAAGGGGCCTCGACTTACTGTGAATGAGGGAGGAACGATTTGGAAGAGGAAGGTGGGAATGGTCACACACCCTGGTGAATGCCACCACTGTCTCCAACGTGTCCCCGTGGAGATTGCTGGATTGGCATCTGGTCTGCTATGTATTTTCTCAATAACCTCAGTGTGTGTGTGTGTGTGTGTCTATATGTATCTACATAGATATATACATATAGACACACACATAACAACAACACTATCAACCTAATCTCCAGACCTAAAAGACATCATCACACAGGTCCGCTTGCCATTTAATAGGCTATCTTTGTTGCTCATGTTGAAGGGCACTCCCCTTGGCCTGAGCTTAGCCTCATTTCCAATGTGCATGAAATGGGGTTTCTCCTGGATGGGGTGTCTTTTCCACCCTAACCCCCGTCCCCACCTGCCCAGGTCTTAGAGAATACACCCTGGTGCTGCACTTCTAGTCAATGCTTTCTCTGACCTCAGAGCAGTTTCAAAATTAGCCGTAGTAAAACAAATGCCGGAATCTCCTGATGCACTCGTGAGAGCAGATCCTGATGGTGAGCATTACAGACTGCAGCACATCCCTTAGTAGCATGCCCGTGCAACCCACCTCCGCACACAGCATTCTCAGACCCGTGGTTTCTAGTAAATCGAAGCACAGTTCTAACAAAGGCACCAGAGAAGGTGCTGTGTGACTGTTAAAAACACCACCTGTCCACACATACAGCACTGTTGTGAGGGGACCCAGTCATTCAAATGCTTGCCGAGCCAGAGGGCTAGGGGCCAGCACTCCCTGAGAGACAGGGTTCTTAAGGGTGTATGTGCACTACCAAGCTGGGTGCCACTTGTTCCTTCACAGATTGGGGGTTCTCTTTGTGATGTTGGTTTCTTTCCTTGCAAACATGGGATAAGGAAGCTCTTAATCACAGGAGATGGTCACGGCTGCTCTCCTAGTCTCAGAAAGGGTGGTTAAAATAACATGCGATTGACCGCATGTGATCCACATCACTCTTTATTGGTCACACGAGGAGACGTCCACTTGCCCCTCCTGCGCCTCCCTCCCATCTGCTGCCAAGCCTCAGCACACACAGAGACTCAGAACCGACCTCCCGTTACTTCTCTGGAGTCCTTAATCCAGTGCATGGCTTCACACCAGTCGGGGCAAGTCTACATGACAGTACACTGAAACGTGAATGACAGCTAGTGATTTACTCCTACGCATAGGATGTGGAATTTAGTGCCAAAATAAAGTAATTTTGCATCTAGAAGGAGACCTGGTGGTGTAGTGGATTACTCAACTCGTTGGGCTGCTAAGTTTAGCAGTTTGAAACCACCAGCTGTTCCTTAGGAGAAAGATGAGGCTTTCTGCTTCTGTCGTGAGCCCTGGTGGTGGTTGCCAGCTGGATTGCGATCTGCATAGTCGGCAGCCGGAAACCAGCAGAGCTCTGCGGGAGACGGACCGGGCTTCCGACTCCCATCACCAGGAAGAGTCTCAGAAACCCACAGAGCTCACTGAGTCAGCAACCCCTCCATGGCAGTGGGTTTGGGTTTGGAAGGAGGTACAGACTAGGTAGCCCGCAGGGACAGTTCGACCCTGCCCTGTAGGGTTGATAGGTGTAGGACTCAAGTCTGTTGTTTGGTTGGTTGGGTTTAGTTTAGGCAGAAAAGCGCTCTGCCTAACCATTCCTAAACTTTGCTCTCAGTGCCCATCCCCACTTGGCATCCACAGTGCCCCCTGCCATTGAAGACAGGCTAGAAGACAGCAATGACCAAGACCTGCCTCCGGTAGCATTTCTGCCAAGTCGTGATCAGAGAGGCAATATTATTGCCGCTGCCATGAGAGAAAAATCACTACAAAAACAAAACCAATGCGTGCCACCCTTGTTCATACCAGTTCAGACTTCCTCTTGAATGCCACCTGGTGCTTGTTGGGGAGATGCCCAAGACACGTCTGGAGCTATGATAGCTTTAGTAGAATCCCCGCAGGACCATCACAGCTGTATATGACAAACGTTACCATCCCGAAGCTGGTGTGGGACTTCCTCTCAATTACCATCCTAATTACTAATTTCCTAATTGTTAGCTGCTGTTCAGTCAGCACCCCAGCTCAGGGTGACCCCAAGCACAGGAGAACTAAGAGCCCTGTGATCAGCAGGACCCATGACTTCATCACACACAGAAAATCACACCAGCTGCTCTGAGCTCTGGACAGAGAGGAGGGAATGTAGAACAAAGCCTGAAACCCTAAGACAGAGCAGACCTCCTGGGCGGACAGAGACTGGTGGAACCTGGGACATGCTAGCCCAGCGGTTCTCATCCTGTGGGTCCCGACCCCTTTGGGGGTCGAATGACCCTTTCACAGGGGTTGCCTAAGACCATCGGAAAACATATTTCTGATAGTCTTAGGAACTAAGACACTGCTCCTTTTTCTGTCTCTAGGCTGGTCTGCCCACATGCAGATACGCCCACATAGGAGGACCCAGCATGAAGACTGTTACCCATGCCACACCATGCTTTAAGACAAAATTTCAGTTAACAAGTGGCCATCTAGCTCAGAAGCAACAAAGCCCACATGGAAAAAGCACACCAGCCTGTGTGATCACAAGGTGTCGAAGGGATCAAGTATCAGGCATCATCAGAACAAAATATCTTACCATAGTGAATGATGGGGGGAGTGCAGAGTGGAGATCCAAAGCCCATTTGTAGGCCACTGGAGATCCCCTTGCAGAGGGGT